AAAAAAAAAAAAAAAAAAAAAAAAAAAAAAAAAGATACATTTGTTCCTGAAACAGAGGTAGGAATTTTGAGGGAAGAGGATATATTTTGAAGGAGTAATGAAAGGAGCTAGGGAGAGACCCATGGAATGACAAAGAAAAGATGTGAAAGAAAGCTGAAACCAAGGTCAGAAATGAAACACTGTGCAAGGGACAAATGAAAGACTTATTTCCTGAAACTTCAATTTGATTATGTGTGCATCTGCTATGATAGTAACTATCATACCTTTAAATATGGTTCAAGAAATTAGTGACTTTAAACCTATTTGGTAAGGCGGAAAATGCAAATATCTAAAATACAAAAAAATTTAAAAGTAGCAAAGAAGGAAAAAAAAAATGATGGCTGTGAGATAGTCCCTACCGGACTAGAGATCACTGATCAAGTTCAGAAGTCTAGAGTTGATTTCTTTTTACTTTAGACTTGTTGTGTGCCTCAGGATGGTCATTTTATTAATCTGGGCCTCAATTTCTCCTTGTAATAAAATGTAATCTTGGGCTCAAAAATCAATTCTGAGCCAAAGTGCACAACATGTGTAAAGATCTCCTAGGATATAAGTAAAATACTTTTTCTTTTAGTAAAACACTTTTGAGTGGAAAACATATCATAAACAAACCCAAAAGATAAACCAGAGACAGCTAAAAAATATTTGTAGTACATGTGACAAAGGATTAATAGCCATCATGCACAGTAACTCCTCAAATAGGCAAGAAAGAGACAGCCCAAGAGAAAAAGAGGCAAAGGACCTAACAGGCAATTAATAGAAGAGGAAATACAAATTTTCAACCCACACATGAAAGGATGCTCAACTTCACTCAAGATCAGGAAAATGCATATTGATGCTAGAAGATATAAGTCCTTGGCCCCTTATCTCCAACCCTAAAATCTACAACACTTTCAAAAGGTTTTTCTCCCTAAGTTTTATACCAAAATTCATTTGGTGGCAACACCTGATTCAAACTGACTTGGGGCTATTTGTAGCTTTTATTTATTCCACTTATTGTAAAAATGCATGTTTTTCTATAGAGAGATTAATGTTTTTGATGATAGAGTGATGTCTGGACTTGCTGAGGGCATAACATAATATATGGTATGTGCACTGCACTACCTTTTAAAATATGAAAAATTCTGAATTATAAAATTTATCTGGTCCCAAGGGTTTCAGAGGAGAACGTATAGACCTGTATCATCCTTTACTCAATATACATAATTGCATGTACAGTAATGATGAAGTATATAAAAAAATCATTTGTAGAGGGGGGAAAAAGACTGGAAGGTAATACTTCAGTGATAATTGGGTGGTGAGATCATGGTTGACCTTTCCCTCCTCAATTCTACAGATTTTCTAAAATTAGTATGTACTATTTGTGAAACTGAAAAACATATAAGCCATATATATATATATATTACAATGTGGTTTTATTGGAGAGGGTGCTGTTAACAATGCCATACCTGTCTGATCATGCAGTGCAGCAGTCCCCTCATCAGTTTCACTACACTCTGCAGAAATAAATGGAAACAAGCTGTTATAAACATCACTAGATGCAGGAACACTTACTCAGCAACTGCAGTTGGTACATGATCTTTTGAGAACAAGTAACCTTATCCTGGGTTCCTATTTACATGGCATTTACTTTATAGGTACACAGAAGAGAAGACTGCAGCTAAAAGTGGAACTAAAAGCTGCAGTTGGTGACTCCTTCAAGTTAAAAAAAAAATCCAAGCTCCAACACGCTTATGTAAAACTAAGTCAACTATCCTATTAGAGGACATTCCACCTGGAAAAAAATGGACAAGTCAGCTCAAAAATCATAAAGCTATGAGAATATTTAAAATATATCCTATATCCTAGAAAAGCCAGCATCATCACTTTTATTTTTTTCTGAACTAGCCAAGACTTATCTTCAAGAGTCCACAGAAATATTTATCTGGACATTTTCCCTAAAGAATAAATGAACTTCAATTCAGAATAACTGTAAAGGGGAATTGTTAGTGCAACTCAACCCCCTTTCCCTGAAAAAAAAAAAAAAGCCACAAACTTAAGTCTCAAGTCATCACTATTTCCCTTACTAGGACTTGACAATTTCTAAGTAGTTAGTTTTCTAATCATAACACTCCAAAATTTTGATTACCAGTTATAACAATGTACTATATTAGTTAGTATAATGCATACAGTAATAATATAATAAGTATATTTAATTATAATATAGTATAGTAACAGTATACTTGTTATACTACATGACACTAGAAGAGCCCGTCAACACTGGCATGGGTAGGCAATATGTTTTGGAAGAATATAGCGCCAAACAGCTTCTCCATTTCTCTAAGCTTTCTGTTTCACAGTCCAGAAGAAATACAGCCAGGTTACTCCAGGGAATGCTGCCTCAGAGGTGGCTTCAGGACACCTCTGAAAACTAATCTACTTGGGAGCTGCACCATTCTTTTATTCCTTCAAAATATTCAAATGGGACTACAAGCAGTAGGCAGGACAAGGATAAGCACCTATTAAATTATGTTCTACTGCTTTATGAAATCTTTTACTGAGGGAAAAATAAAGTGTTTCCTTGGGAGAGTTCCTTTCTTTAAGTAATTTCTGTCTACAGATGGTCCCCTCCCCTTACAGATCAAGGGAAGAAATAAAGAGGGAGTGAGAGTGAGAGACAACCCTCTTTCCCGAAAAAAAAAAAAAAAGCCACAAACTTAAGTCTCAAGTCATCACTATTTCCCTTACTAGGACTTGACAATTTCTAAGTAGTTAGTTTTCTAATCATAACACTCCAAAATTTTGATTACCAGTTATAACAATGTACTATATTAGTTAGTATAATGCATACAGTAATAATATAATAAGTATATTTAATTATAATATAGTATAGTAACAGTATACTTGTTATACTACATGACACTAGAAGAGCCCGTCAACACTGGCATGGGTAGGCAATATGTTTTGGAAGAATATAGCGCCAAACAGCTTCTCCATTTCTCTAAGCTTTCTGTTTCACAGTCCAGAAGAAATACAGCCAGGTTACTCCAGGGAATGCTGCCTCAGAGGTGGCTTCAGGACACCTCTGAAAACTAATCTACTTGGGAGCTGCACCATTCTTTTATTCCTTCAAAATATTCAAATGGGACTACAAGCAGTAGGCAGGACAAGGATAAGCACCTATTAAATTATGTTCTACTGCTTTATGAAATCTTTTACTGAGGGAAAAATAAAGTGTTTCCTTGGGAGAGTTCCTTTCTTTAAGTAATTTCTGTCTACAGATGGTCCCCTCCCCTTACAGATCAAGGGAAGAAATAAAGAGGGAGTGAGAGTGAGAGACAGAACAAACAGGCAGTGCATGATCTTGTCACCTTTTAAAGCATGAAGCATTTGTTATAAAGTAATGAAACTGACTGCAACCCCTACAAGAAAATCTCTATCATTACTCTGATCCTAATGAAAGAGACCATCCTTTAATATACAGCCTTCTTACTCTATGGGATGACTTTATTCAATTCTGAATTCTCTTCTACACGTCACCACATACTCACAGATTTCTATCCCATCCTTTCAACTCTCTACCACCCAGCCCTGCTACTACCATCTACATTTTCTTTAAACAGCAAACCTGGGAGATTATAGATGCAGTGGAGGAGTCCTGATTGCCATCCACTTTTGTCCTCTTGGAATGGCCACTGTCAGCCATTTCTGTCCTCAAGTTCCAAATTCCAAGTCAGGATAAAATGAATCGGAAGCATGGAGAGGTAAGAATGAAGGGAAGTATCTGTAGTTTGTATGCCCCCAAACTGCCCATTTCCTGATTCAGGTGCACTAGTTGGCATTAATTATACATGTTTATACATACACCAGGGCTTCTAACCACACCAAGTGATACCCTCCTCTAATCTATCTTTTTTTTTGAGGATATGGATCTATGTGTTTGTGAACTGACCATATAAGGATATATAACTATTTATACACAACAATAGCCATGTAAGTATTAATACCTGTCTCTCTCTCCAGATATATTTACAATCAGATACATATGAGCGTCTAACATATGCAAAGCACTCTACCAGGCTTTGTAAAACATAAAGAAAAGGGAGACAGAACAGATATGTTTTTTAAAAACACTAAACTACAAAAAAAGGAAAGAAAGAATGAAAAAAACCCCACCAAACTACAAATACAGTCTACCTAACAATTCCTGGTTATCCTTTAAAACCCAACTCCTCTATGAACCCTTCCTTGTCTTGTTCAAGGGAAATTAGACTTTCCTGCCTGTGTGTTCCCACAAAACTTTGTACTTATCTCCTAAATATGGTACCTACAGTATCTGTCTCAATGCATTGTAACTATGTTTATATATATATCTGTCTCCCCTATCACCCTATGAACTCCTTAAGAAAAAGGGGCAGAGACCAGATTCAGAAATAGACCTTTAAGCCAATGAACTAAGCAGATTGTGTTTTTAAAAATATATATTCCATGTCTGCAAGTAACTCTCAAATGGCTTACCAAAAAACCTGTGTGCCTGGGGGGGAACATGTTTATAGAGAGGATGCAAATATGACAAAATGTTAACAACTAGTGAATCTAGATAAAGAGTACATGCAAATATGTTCATTTTACTATTCCTAAAACTTTTCTGTGAGTTTAAAATTTAAAAAAATTATAAGTTGAGGTTTAAATATAAACATTTTGTCCCATTTTATTTTTTATATCTATTGTAGGGCTTGGCACATAACAATTACACAAAATTTTCTAAATGAAAAACTGAACATGTTGAATGGCATAGACCATAAGCAATCTAGAAGTTCCAAGAAAGCAGTCCTGAAAAAGAAGTGATCACTGTGAAATTGAGAGGTCTATGAGGTCAGGAACCACAGAAAAAGTGGGATTGACGGCAGGCTTCACAGGTGGAAGAAACAGCTCATAAAATGATTTGGAGGTGGGAATGTCTATGGCTTCCATGGAGGAGGAAATATTCAAAAAGACTGAATCTGAAGTCATAAGACCCAGGTAGTATTCATGACACCACCAAATTCCAACTTCATCTCCTGTCAATCCCTTCACCTGTAAATTGGGGAAAATAATACCTAATTCATAGGGTGTTACAGGAATAAAATACTAGTAATTATGGGAAAGTATACAGTACAATGAAAAGTCTTTACACAAATGTCAGGTGTTTTTATCAAGGTACTGTTAGAGAAGTAATGAAGACACCAACCTGGTTGGAACTGGGGGTAGAATGTAGGGGACCAGCATGATATAATATTGAAAAAGCAGCCTAGGACCAAACCCTGTAGGGAAATGAGAACTACAAAAAGATTGCTGAGAATGAAAATACATAATTTAAGTGTTGTTTTAACTTAAAGTCTAAACCCTTTCACTAAGTGATCAGGGTTTAGACTAGGGTTGAGGCAGAAGGGAATAGAAAGGAGGGGATGGATTCGAGAAAAATTATAAGAATTAACAGACTTTGGTCTGCATGTATCAAAAGGCAAAAGGGACAAGTCAAAAATCACCAAAAGGGCAGCACTTTTCAAACACTGTTTTATAGAACACTAGTCCAGGAAATTCTGGGAAGGCTGTAAAATCCACCCCCATCTTAGATTCAAAATGCACATCAGTACATCAAAAGCTCTGAGAAATTACAGAGTAATAAACCTGCTGTTTAACATAGCTCCAAACTTAGTTAATCTAGTATTCCAAGGAACACACTATGTGAAATGTTCTAAGTAATGTTGCCCAGGTGACTAGTAGAATGAGGACACCAGTAAGAAAAAAAGGGACATTTGGTGAGTTGCTGTTGTTTAGTAGTCTATTTTGTTTGTTTTTAGTAGGGAAGGTGGGGTTTCAGACCTGATTTTGAGGAGCCACAAGATATTCAGGTGCAACTGATCAGAAGACAAATGAAAATCTGGGTTTGAAACTGAAGTGAGGTCAGAGTTAAAGATGAAGCTTTGGAAGTCATTCTCATAAAGGTAATAGTTAAAGACACGAGAAAAGATGAGAGACTACACAAGGAGAACAAAACTGAGGAAGAAGTAGAACTGGGGGCAGCCAAAGAGCTATCTCTATTTGTGTGTTTATTTATTTTTATGGGTGTGAGTTTTTATCTGTGTGACTAAGAGAAAAGGCATTTGTAAAAACATGTACGTGCATACTTCTATTCTCAACCTAGGACAGAACAGTCACTTAAACCCTTGTCCCCTCTTCATCCAGAATTCTCTTTAGTTCTCTGACATTATTTCTCAGAGAGAAATCTAGGTGAGAGTTGGAAGGAAGGGTAGAAATGATTAACAGTCAATGGTTTGGGAAAATCTACACAGTAATGGAAGGCTCACAGTAGGTAGGAATTTAATCTATGAATTTATTCTATTTGATTTCACCTATGCTCACTTATTAGCCATAGATCAGTGATTATCTCTGGCTGCACTTTAGAATTACTAGAGCAGTTTTTTTTTAAAATATTGATGCCCCTGGGGCTCCACTTACAGAGATTTATCTAAATCGTTCTAGGGTGAGGTCCAGTAAGGGTAATTGTTAAAAGCTTCTCAAATCATTCCAACGCACAGCCAGAGTTTAGAACCATTCGTGTAGAGTGGGGACAAATCTAGCTCACGGTGTGTTTTTGTAAATAGAACTTACTGATTTAAAAAAAAAAGAACTTACTGGAACATAACCATGCTCATTCATTTATGTATCGCTCATTCATTTATGTATCATCTCTGGCTGCTTTTACATAGTAGCGGAAGACCTGAGTAGTTGCGTAGAGATCACACATGACCCACAATGCCAAAAATATTTACAATCTGGCCTTTACAGAGATGGTTCTCTGATCCCTAGTCTGAATTAACTAAGTCAAATTTGAGAAGAAAATTAATGAGACTTAATAATACAATCTTTTAATTTATAATGAAAGTTGGTAGAAATTTTAGAATTCCCAGAGAAATGTGTTTTTTTTTTTAAGATGTTTCCTATTGCCATAATGTTTTTGAGACATCCCAAGGTTATTACTGAGGTGGTATGGAAAATATTTTTGTGCTGTGTGAAAAATTATTTAACGGAACATTAAAATTTTAGAATGAACAATTTTCTGTTCATTTTCCCCCTCTTCCTCTGTTACATTCTTTCTTCCTGGGCCACATAAGGAAAAATGTCAACTCTGCAGAATGACTGATCAACAAGGAGATACAGATTTCTTCTAACAGTGTTGAAAAAGAAATCTGTCAAATCATACTGGGTATAAAATCTTGGGTATTGTTCCACCAATATCAATTTCTAGCAAAACAAGACAAACAAAATACTGAGATCAAAATAGCAAAACATTAGAGTAGGACATAGGATAAGGGAGGGGAGTAAGATTACAGATGATTTTTTTTAACACTCCTCTATATTTTCCAAATTCTCACAATGGTTATGTATGTTTTCTATAAGTCACAAAAAATATTGATCTGTACTTCCTGGGCTAGAGCAAACACTCCAACAATTTCTTTCTGGTGGACCTAAGTACCTCTTAATTATGGCTTGAGGGAATAAGAAACACCTGCTGTTGCAGAGGACAACACAGTGAAACTTTCCTGCTGCCAAGGACTATAACCCCACAATATGTTGGTGCCCTTAAAAATAACCAAATCTCAATATTCTGATTTATAGATGAAGACTGGAGTTCAGATTGCCTAAGCTGAGGGAGACCACTTGAGAAAATGGCTGGTGTAGAGAGAATCTTTTCCACTAATGGAAAAGAATTCACATACACCTTACAACTGACAGCAGAGTACCTTAACATTAAGAGTCTCATGTAGCCCAGAATATTATTTTCTTGGTCATTCAAGAGGACGTAGCATCCTGTGTCTAAACAGTTCTATAGAGGATACTTCTTTACTGAGGGGAGGGCCTTAAAAGTTGGCTTAAAGGCATCTGTTGACTCTGACCTTATTTTGCCCCAAGGGGTGAGGGTTGGTATGGGGCAGGGGGAGGACACACAACAGACTCTGAAACAGTGGCCTAGGTATAAAAATCAACAAATAATGTATTTTACTTCTGTCTAGTTGGGGAAGTCTGCTAATTTGTATCAGTTACCCTCATATAAATACCACCTATCATTTTCAAAAAAGAAGTAAAATGGTAGATACCTGCTGCCAAAAATTCTTCTCAATGAGAATAAATATGCTGGAGACTACAAAATACATTTACTTGGAAAGAGGATTACAAATTTTAGCAAAGATCTGAGGATAGGATTTTCCACTGTAACAGAACAGACTGTGTCCTCTCCCCCTGAATCAGCAAGTTTCATGTTTCCACTGCAAAAAAAAACTCCGTACAATACAGGAAAGCTTTATGGAATGCAATTTCAGCAAGGTGAAGAAAGAGTGAGAGGCAAAACATATCTGTCTTAGCTCCTGTGGACTACATTTCCTTCCTCCTCCCCCCAGTTCCAGAGCTCTTTGTATTTTTATTGAGTACCTGCTCCAGTTCATAGGCCTTTGCCTTATCCTCATCCCGGTCTGCATTCTTCCGATAGGCCAGCCCCAAACCCCACACAGCCAAGATGCTGTACACATTATCCCGGACCCAGGCATCTTTCTGATCATAGCTGGCTGGAAGCAAGCCAGTCACTGGATTCTGTAAGGACAAGAAAAAGGGGACAGGCAGGTAACCATAGGGTGTTAATATGAGGAAACAGAATCTATCAAATGGGTACTGAGGGACTTTGGTCTTTCTTCTATGTCCCCACTCCTGAGTTTTAAAATCTCCTCTTCTGACCAAGTGCAAGCAAATGCTATCTTGAATAAAGGGAAAG